TTTTCTTGTTTTTATCTTAATTTTATTATTAAAAAATATTTATTGTAAAGTGTTGTATTATAATTATTAAACGGTTTGTTGTTTTGGTAAATAATTGATTATTATGTTTCTAAATAATAAGTGATTATTTAGTTGTTTTATGAAATTATATTTGAAATTATATGAATTTTAAATTATTATTAATGTCTTCGTTTTATAATAAACAATATTACATTTTCATTCTTATTTTAGTTAGTCTTAATTATATTTAATGTTTGTATTTCTCTCTATTGGTATTATTCATTAATAACACAATGAATCTTCGATATATTCTCAATTGATTCAAATTTATTGAAAAGTTGATGACTATTATGATTAAAGATAAGTCGGATGAATTGATAAATTCTTATTGTATTTTGAAGTTAATAATTGAAACATTTTATTTGTTATTAAATTCTTATTATTTATTCTTTTATTCTTTTACTTATCTTTTTATTTCTTCTCTACTTAATCAATACATATGTTATAAAATTTAATATTATATAGTGTTATTGATAATTGTTATATTCTTTTCATTAATACTATATTTTCACAGTAATTTATAAACACTTTAGTTTTCAGAAATTGAATTATTCCATCATTAATTTGTTCATCATTTCTTTTCTCTTTCATGAAATATTCATTTTGATTTATTTTCATTTACTCTGTTTTAATTACATCAATTTATTTTCATTGATCATTTTGTTTGATATATATGAACGTCATTTCAAATATTAAATTAACCATTATGAATCTTTAAAATATATCATAATAATAACTTTCTTTAATATAACAAAATTCAATATTTTCTAACACTCTCATCACCAAACTTATTAATTAAATAATTAAGTAATAAATGAAACAGTTATCAAAATATAATATTATATTTTTTAACTTATTTATGAATGTTGTAACAAACAATTTTTATTAGTTAAATATGAAAATTGATTATTATAAATTAATTTTATAATTTTGTTAAAACTCATGGCATTATTAAACTATCTTGGTATCAATAAAACTAAAACTAAAGAATGATGAAAATTATAAAATCATTAATATTTTATTGAAAGCCAATATTGTTATTTTATTGAATTGTGATGTTAACTACTAATTAAAATCATAACACCAAGAAATACAATAAATCACAATTATTGTTACTATAATAAAAGGTTATATACAAAGTTGTTATAATAAAAGAATGAAATAATTTTATGATAGACAAAATAAAATAGAAATAAAAATCAGGTTTTGAAATGAATTATTAACATAATAAATAATAATACATTCAAATTTAATGTAACTTATTAATTATGATTTACAACTAATTAGTGTTTATTCATTCAAATAAAAGATTTATTAAATTAATTTCATAACAAACACATCAATGATAAAGATGAATTAAAATATGCAATTAAAATATCATATTAATAATAAATTATACAAATATAGTCTAAAGTAAAAGAGATAGAAATAGTAAGGGTATTAAATAAAAAGTTAATAAAGAGAATAGAGAAGTAATAAAAAAATATATTCATAATAAAGAATGAAAATAAAATTTATAGAAAAAGAAAAAAAAGGATGATAAACAAATTATTAGTTATTATGTAATTAATATTTATAAACAATAAAACAATTATGATTAAATACAATAAAACTTGAATAAAAATTATTTGAGTAGATAGTAACTAGAGTTGAATATAAAATAAAGAAATAAAACATCATAGAAAGAGTAAATATAACGTCACCAATAAACAAATACATAAGTCAGTACAAATATTATAATTAATGAGTTTTCAATTAAACAAAGAATATAATCAATAAATAACACATGAATATTCAATATTTTGTTCATTAAATTCTTAAGGTGTATGAATATTTTCATATGAAAGTATTATAGAAGAATTATGTAACAGAAAAAAAAACATATTAATTTCATACAAAATTGTTTATCACTATGTATAATATATTATGAATATGTTGAATTGTATTTCATTAACATTATAAAAATATAGATTTTAAAAAATTCTTTTTAATATTGAAATTATTTTTTTGATCAAGTTCATTACTTAGACTTAATTTGATTAGCAACCCATTTCATTCCAGCATCTAAACCACTTCCAGTAATTGCACTAGTGCTAAATATATTCCAAGTATGATCTTTGATTGTATGTAATAATAATTTATCGGATATTTGGGCAGATGATAAAGCTCCTTCCATATCTTGTTTATTTGCAAAAACAGCAATCACTGCATCTTTCAATTCTTGCTCTTTTAACATTGAGTGTAATTCATCTTTGGCAACAGATAATCTGTCTATTGCTGTTGAATCTACAACAAATATGATTGCACTACATTTTTCATAATAACACTTCCAGTAAGGTCTCAAACTGCTCTGTCCTCCTAAATCCCAAACTTTAAAATGAACATTTTCATAATCGATTGACTCTACATTAAAACCAATTGCTACAACGGTTAAACCTTAAAACACACTTATCCTTTCTTACAAAAAAGATTCCTTTTATACACTTGTTGAAAAACATCAACAACAAGAGAAGATAAAAATTAGAAAGAAGAGTAACAACAAACTAGGCATCGTTTGAATTACCTTTCCACATTGTAATTTATATAAAATAGTTGTTTTTCCTGCTGCATCTAAACCTAATATCAAAATTCGAACTTCTTCTTGACCAAAGAGAGAAGCAAACCAAGAAAATATTTGTCCTAATCTTTAACTATTCTAAATTCATAAAAAAATAAAATACAAACAACAAACCCATATAATTTATGAATTAAAAGTTCTAAATTAAAAAAGTTCAAGAAAGTGAATTATGATTTCTTTCCTCTATTGTCTTAATACTTTCTTATCTATTTGAACCTATCTCTTAAACAACTACATTGAATAATTTTTTTATTATTCCCATTGAATAATCTCATAAGTAAAATACTTTTTTTAAATAATACAATTTTTTTCTTTAAAACCTCTTTTTATTTTTTGTTCTTTGCTTTCAAATGTGATTTTAAAGGTATAACAAATGATAACAAAGAGAGAAGAGGAAATAAATAAAGAAATGAACAAAGTGAATAACAGTAGAAAAACAAGGTAGAGAAGAAAAAGAAAAAAGAAAATAGAGGTGAATAAAATAAAGGGATTGAAAGAAGAAAAAGTGGAAATGAATTAAACGAAGAACTAAAAATTTGAAAAGAAATGTCGAAGTTAGTGTTTACAACAAAAGGGAAAGAACATGTTATTAAGAAGAATGTTATTCACAACCTCAAGTCTAGTGCTTCATATAGGATTGGAAATACACAAATTATATGTGGGATTAGTACTGAGATAGTTCAAATGATTCAAGATGGAAAAGAACCACAATATATCGAGGTTGAAATAAAAAGAAGTGGATTAAATGAAGATAAATCACCTATGATTGAGAGTATTCCGATGTGGATAGAAGAAGTATTGAATGACAAAGACTTATTTGAGAATCGAGAAAAACTTCTAGTTAGTACTGAAGACAAAGAAACAAGTTTTTACCAAAAAATTCATTTGGTTAATTATATTATTGATGATGATGGATCTGTTTTTGATGTAGCAATTTTAGCAAGTATCAAAGCATTACTTACACGTTTGTTGAATGAAAATCAATAAAAAATAAAAAAAAAGAAGACTAAAAGAAGTAGTTGAGTTGCAAGAAATGAAAATTGGGTTGGATGGATTATGTTCATATGATGAGACAAAGAAATATCAATTACATTTCAATTATCACCCAATTCCATTCAGTTTCTTTATGGAAAATGGAACAAAAACAACAGCACATTTATCATTTATTCTCACTGAAACAGAAATTAATCATATTCACATCCATGGAGGTGAATCAGTTATTTCACCAGAATTGTTATTAGGATGTACTAGTAGATGTAGAACAATCTTTGATGCATACGTTAAACGCTTAATTGAATGAATTAGAATTAACATATAATTAATTAATGAATAATTCAAGCAAAAGGGGATGGTAAGTCTTTTTTTTCAGAGCCATCTAGTTTTTCTCTTTCAAATCCTTTTCCATCGTCAAAAATATCTTTAGGTTCAAGAATAATTTCTTTGTCATTTCCTTCTTTATTAATTTTCATTTTAATCATTTCATCTATATCTTTTCCTAATTCTTGAAGTCCATTTCCATCAATTTTTTCTTCTTCGTTTTCAATCATTATACATTTGTGAATTGAATTTTCTTTCTTATTTCTTCGGATTGTAACTTTATATCCTTCTTTAATAACTAGATATATCATTGCATTATTTTGTTTGTTCTCATTATTTTGTTCATCCTGATTCCTAACTCTCATAATTTCTTCTGCTTCTGTTGTGTCTGTTTCACTCATCTCTTTATTTCTTTTTAAGTTTCTTTTCAAATGCTCAACCTTTTTCAATTAAACTCCTCAATTAAATTTGAAATATATCCACGCAACATTAATAAATAGCGACATAATGTGATATGTTGGAATGAAATATCCTATGCAAAGTGTGTAGTAGTAGATATACCCTAGATTTTCTACAAATGTCTTGTTTGGATCATCTTCAAATGTCATTAACGAATGAACCATTAACACACTAATGAAAATAACCATAATCATCCCTAAAACACCTCCAATAATCAACCTATTTCTTGTTTTTCTAATTGACTCAATTGTCATTTCTGGTATGTCTTTAAAGAAAAAGTTCAAGAATGGATATTTCTCTTCTAGTCTCTTTAATATTTCTTGTGTCTTTTCGTCATATGTCTCCTTTTGGTATTTCTCTGTCTTGCTTTCGTGTTGCATCAAATTTCCTTTTTATTTTCTTTTCTTTTTTTTTCTTTTTCTATCTTTTAAATTATAACTACTCTTTAATTCTTGAAGTTAAGTCTAATAAACTATCTTATTATTCAGAAGATAACTTACTCATTAAGATATTGGTTCATTATTGTTTCGATAATAGAAGAAATTCCAAACATTATTCTGTGAAAGAATGGTTAGTGCTGAATTAATGAGAAGAATGTAAATAAAAAACATAAGAAATGGCATGAATTTAACAATAAAAATTCAGACTTTTCTTTATAACATAAAGAAAATTGAATGAATATTATTTAGTGATTAGTCAATGTACATTGTTTTATTAAATGATATTATTGTGAGATTAACAATTAAATTTTCATTGAATATATTTATTATCATTTGTTTTTAACGTTATTATCATTATTTAATAGGAAATAATAATCATATCATTATAACCATCTAACTCTGTATTAATAAATAATAATTTGAATAATTGTTACATAGTATATTATTTGTACAACCATAATTATTCTTTTAATAATTTCATTTATACTTTAATTATTTCTTTTATTCATTTATTCATTTTCATTATGAATCATTCAATCAATTGTTTGTCTAACATTTAAAATAATCAATGAGAATCTCATCATGTTTAACATGTTGCAATATAAATTCCATTGTTATTTATACAAAATTTAAATACTTCTTTCTCTTCGTATCTCATTCCTTCGTCAACTTAATTCATGACTATATTTACTATAATATTATCTATATTTTTGGTAATATCATATAATATTCATTATGTCTAAGTATAAAATATATTGTTTTATTTTTATTTAAATGTTTTGGTTGTGTCAATTACTTATTTCCATTATTCTATATTTTTTTAATAAAACGATTATTATTTGCATAATTGTGTTAAATTTATTGCTCAACTTATTGTAGTTATATTTACTATTGTTATTCTTTTGATTCATTTGATATATATTTGTTATTTTATTGATATTGTCAATGTATTTATCAGTAGTTCATGTATTTTGTTTGTTTTTATTAATATATTCTTTAGCATTTAATATTAGAATGTAAACTGATCTTTAATAATATTGGTATTTTCTTTATTATTTGTTTCAATACATATTTAGCATTCGTAATTCTATTAACTATACTCATTCCATAAATATTATTTTTATATTCTTATTCTTTTCTTTAAGTTTTAATTTCATATTAGTAATGAATGAAAATAATATGCACGTGAATTGTTTTATGTATTCATTCTTTATGTTGGCATAACTTAGTTATTATTTATTCTTGTACATTAAGAATGAAGGTACAAATAAATGTCATTTAATACTCTAAAACAAAAAAATCCAATTTAAAGTTATTAAATTACAAATAAAAATACAAAATGTTGAATAACAGTTCTATAGTTAATACAAGAGAGTATTATACTCTAAAAACAAACAATTATTAATGTTTTTTTTTTAAAATAAAATATACAGAAAATGAAACAATGCAAATGATAATATCTATGTTTTAAGAAGTAGTAATGAAATGTCAATAAAAAGAAAAGATGAATGAATAGTTAATAGAATTATGCATTAAACTTGTATATTAATCAAATGAATTGTGAATATATAGAAATACAAAGAAAGAAATGTGTAAATTACATTGTATTGTAATAAAAAGTACTAATACAATATTTTAAATTTATATATAAAACAGTATATAACGATTCAAATAAATATAAATTCTGAGTAGTAAGAAATGAATAATTTCATATAGATTACAAATGAATTAAAAACAATTGAATATATGAGATATACAATACAAATAATTTATATTTTAATTAAACATTGATGATGAAATACATAAATTTAATTAAAACAATCATAAAATTGAAACTGTAATTATCAACTCAAATCATTTTACTAATATAATAATTATTAATCCTTCTTATTGTATTAATTTTGAATGTATTTACATAAGTATCTAATAAATATACCAAATTAAAAAGAGATATACAATTATTAATTATTTTATGCTATACACTTTTGTTTTCTGTATTGAAATATAATCACAAAATGTCTATTTAATAATAAATTAATATTTTATTAACAAATGATATTCATAAAACTATACGAAGAAGACTAATAAAATGAAACTAACGAAAAAATTAATAAATAACAATGATAAAAATAGTTTTAAATGAGTCAAAGAATTAGAGTTGAGATTAAGATAGTCTCAAGAGAATAGAAATAAGAAATAACTTTAGGATTGAAAAAAAGATATAGAAAGTTCTTATAATAATATGAAGAATGTTCTTAATTTTTTTAAATCATATATTACGTCATAAGGTTTTATCTCAGTTCATTTGAGAATTATGAAAAGAAAAAATTCATTAATTCTTTTACAAAGTGAATTTACAATATCTTTTGAAATAGTTGCATTAAAAAAACGAACCATTACCACAACTCTCCACAGTAAGTTACAGTATAAGGAGAAGATGTTGGAACAAAACAAGTTTTTGATGTTGAAATTTTAGAGGAAAGACTATAGTATCTATTTCTTACAGCATGTGCAGTTCTTCCTTTTAACAAGTTAGCAATTTTACTCCATGAGTTACGATATTTGTTATACCCTTGAATTATAACAGAATCCTCTTTGGGAGTCCATTCACTTGTGTCAATCATTGGAGAGATATGATTTATATAACGTTCTCTACACTGCTTTCTGGATCGACTCCCAACAAACTCAGCAATTTCAACCCATCGAGACTTTCCAAACTTATTTACAGCATCAAGTAATTTACGGTCTTCTTCTACAGACCAGTTACATGCAGGTTTTCTGACAACTTTCCTTGTAAAACTTATAGGAACAGAATTTGAGATAGGAGATTCTTGTACAACTTGGTTGAAACAAGAATTTGTGTTTTGAGGTGATTGCATAATAAAATTAAAGACTGTATGTTTAATTTTATATAGGTTTTTATTTTATATCTTAGAAAGCTTTGAAGTAGTGGGAGTTAGAGACATAAGAAAAGATTGCGATAAATAATAATTTTAATAATAAGAAATAACTATTCTTAAATATTTGATTCTTAAATTCTCTTTATTAGAACTTCAGAAAAGAAGATTTTCTTTTTGATGAGTCATTACCCCCTTCATTTTTTTCTATGACCAAAAGATATGGTTGTAATAATAACAGGAATTTTTTTAAACACAAACATAATACTCTATTCTTCTCAAATAAAAAAAGAAACAAACTTAATTTTATTTAACTAACAAAATTGAAAAAAATATTCTTTGTCAAATAGTTATAACAGTTACCCAAAAAGTGATACTAGAAAAAGGGGTGGTGACATTTTTAAATAAAGCAACTAACAAAAGCTTCTACTTTTTTAATTTCAGGAAACAATGAAACAACACTAATTGAACTCTATTTAAAAAATTAAAAAACAAATCCAAATTGTTATCAAAAGAATTATCTTTGATACCGTTTGAAATTTCTGATATTTTATTAAAATAAATTAGTTAAATAAAACTTAATGATGAAATAGAGTATTTTATTTAATATTCTTCATAATGAACAATAGGACCTTTTAGATTCTCAGGATCAAAATACTTTAAATTTTCAAGATAAATAGCGGCTGCATATCCTGAAATTCCCATTCCTATTAAACACCGATAGTCATATGCTTTTCTTAAACACTCTAAAGCCTTTTTTTTACACCATTCTTCTAAAATAGTTACTGTTTGACAGTATTTTAATAATACTAATGAATATTGCTCTAATATAGCTGCATATAATCTTCCATGTGAAATATCCCGATGAAATTCTGCAATAGGTAAAAGAACTTCTTCAGCGATTTGAATAGGATTAGAACATGCTTGTGTCATAAAATAATTTCTTAATGCTTTAAATAAATACATATGGTATGGACTCATTTTTCTTAAAGGTCTAAAGAACCAACGATAACGACTTTCATGTTTAAATTGCATAATAGCCTTTTCTTCTGCTTCATAAAAAAATATTTCTTCTTGTGTTGATTTTCTTTTACAAGTATGACAAATCCATTCATTTTCATCAGGATAAATAAGTCCCCCACAATAAATACAATCAAAAACTCTCCAATTATCTATTCCTTTTGTACATAACACACAATCACAATCAAACCCATAGTAATCATGATAATATCTTATTCTTTTAGAATTAACATTAGGAAATGAATATGAAATTGTTAACTCTGTTCCAACTTCAATATCTTTTAATGCTGTGTAATACATAGTATCACCAACAGTATGCCATCCCATATTTTCTGAACATGAATGATTAACCAAACTACATCCCATAAAAACACCAAACCCTTCTTGGAAATCTAATGAAAAAGAGTTTGTATGAATCCCATTAACAATTTTTCTTAATTCATCCAATACAACTTCATATTTAAATTGATATGAATTATTTTTAAATTCATTAAACATCCATTGTACATGATTTTCAAATTCATTTTCTCTACTTGGATTTTGTGCTAATTGTGCAACAAATGAAGGTGTAGCAGTAGCATTTCCTTCATAAACTTTTTTAATTAACTCAAATGTTGAATCTTTATTTTCATCTTTAGTTTCAGGACCAATATATAAAATAGATGCTCGTTCTTTAAATACTAATTCTCCAGCTTTTATAGGTCGACAACAAATGACACCTCGTCCTTTCCCAGGAATATCTTCCATAACCCATTTTCGTTTAGGGAAATCACCTTCAAATAATTCTTCATATGAATTATAAATTGGCATATTTTTTCTATCAATAAAATCAGTTCTACTAGGTATTAAAATGTCATAGTTATGATCAATAGAATCATTTAACTCTGGATATATTCCTTTCTGCATACTTTAATTCTCGAAAACCACTTCGATCTTCCTCTTATTTTTTTTATTAGTTCATATTATTTCATTATGATAAAATAAATTATATTTTTACTATTCTTTCTACAAACACAAAAAACGAAAGAAACTTTTTTGATAAATTAATAAAAAGTTAATTTGTTTTTTCATCTCCATCTAAAAGTGCTTTAGTTTCTTCTGGTTGTTTAGCAGCATCAAGATGAGAATAATCAAAGAATGGAGCAGCAATTCTAAGATATCCGTTGTAAATGAAAAGTCCTTCAAGAAGGAAGAAGAATCCTGCGAGTTGAAGATATGACCAATCATTCCAACTTTCTCCAAGTGGAGAGTCATCAGCAACAAAAAGACCAATAATTAATTGAACAATCCAAATACATGCAGTTCTAAGACCTTCAAGAATAGTTCTAATAACAGCAGATGAAACAAGAGTAACAAACATACCAAACAAATTATATGCAAGAATGACAATAGAATAAATCAAACACATACAAAGAATAAATGGTGATTTAACTAACATATAGAATGTATCTGTAGTTGATTCATAAACTCCATTACCTGCATTAGATGGAATAATATATTGTACAATAGTTAAACAAATACCTGAACAAATTAATCCTCCCCACATACCTTCAAGACCGACAATAAGAATTGGATCAGTATTGGCATCTTTAAGAAGGAATTCTTCAATAACAATTTGTGATGCTTGAATAACTTGAGCGGCAATAACTAAACAAATACCAATAATTTCAAGATAAAGTTCTACACTTCCTTTTTCACTATAATCACCATAAACATCTTCTACAATAATTGGATCTTTTGTTGGTGCCATAAGACATGAGAATGCAACAACAACAAGTGCAAATGCTACAAATGCAACACCAACCCATTGATAAGCATATACTTTTCTCTTTAAGAAGACTTTAGTGAAAATAGCAGAGAAAATAGTCATTGATCCTCTTAACATTTGCCAAATAGATGCTGGAATCCATAATAAACCAACATTAGATAAAGCAGTAGCACAAAGATCACAACAAGCTGGAATAGCAACAATTAAATAAGTTTTGAAATGAGATTGTCCTGGTTTTGTTTCATGTCCTTCTTCAGCTTTCTTTCCAAAGAATTTTTGGATTAAATGTTTTCCTTCAAATACAAATAAACATCCAAACATACCTATGAACATCATTTCAGTTTGGAACCATGGTTTTTCAAATGAATGAACATCTCCATTAAGTCCTTCTCCTTCAATTGAGAAAATCATTTTTTGGAATACAACAGTGCATGTCCCAAAAAGGAGCATACCTGCAATAACAATGGCTTTAGCTAAGAGTGATGCCATTATCAATATGAAATAATTCAATGTTTTTAAGTTTTAGTTTTTGCTTTCTCTTTCATATAGAATCTTCCGTTTATTCTTTTTTTATCTTCTCTTTTTGAACGAATCATATCTTACATATTTAAAATGCAATTTCTGAGTTTTATTTGTTTATTATTTAATTGGTGTTATAGTATCTTTTAGAACTTTCTCTTCATTATTTTTCATCTTTTTCTTGTAGAGCTTTTAAAAGATCTATTAAATATTTTTTTCATAGATCAAATTTTTATTGTTGTTTCAGTAAAAAGAAGAATAAAACTAAAACAATGTAGTTTATTTTATTATAAATATTAAAAAAAAAAAGAAAAACAAAAAAAAGAAACCAACTGAGAAAAAAGAACAAAAAACAATCCAGAAAGTCACGAGATGAATAGAATTACAGGGACATTATTATTAATTCCACGAGAACAATATCCACAAGGAATTCGAGCAAATTTGAATGAAACATATAATAGTATAATGAAAGTAATTCGACATTATGATCAATGGAAAGTGATGATAAAAAACTTTTTTCATTCACAATTATTTTGGGGGATTATATCAATGATTATTTGTGGATATTGGAATAGTGTATTTCAAATATATGCCGATTCAATTGCAGGATTTTGGAAATATAAACATCAACCATTTATATTAATGGATATATTTTTTGATATATTACCATATATTCAATCAAATAAAATATCTGATTTATATTTAAAATATTGTATTATTATAACTATTATCAGATTTTTATTTACTCCTTTACGTTCAATTATTCTTAGAAGATATTGTTTTATTCAAGCTGTTATCTTTCTTTTTAGAGGTTTTAGTGTATTTGCAACATTATTACCAAATCCAATGAATAGTTGTAAATCAAATGTAATTGGAAATCCATTTGTAGAAGGATTTTATGTAATGTTAGGATATCATCATACATGTGCAGATTTATTATTTTCTGGTCATACAGCAAATTTAACACTATGTGCATTTATTTGGGAATATTATTCAGAAAAAGTACCATTTTTTAATCCTTTAATAGAAAGGATTTGTGCATGGATTATTGCATTTATTGGATATTTTATATTTCTTTCAAATCATTTTCATTATTCATGTGATGTATTTATTGGATTTATTGTTGCTTCACTTCTCTTTAATTTATATCACACTTATATTAAAACTATTTCTACTAGAAATAATTTCTTTAATTCTTTCTTAAGATGGTTTGAAGAAGACTCTTTAGAAATTCCTAAATTAGTTAGACTTGCATCAAAAAAAACTCTTCTTCAATAGATTTGTTGTATTCTGTTCTGTATAGAAATCATATTGAATGTAATTACATTTATTTTTAATAATTTTAATATTTTTTAGATTAAACATCAAAGTTTTCATTAATTAATTCAATAATTAGAATTATAATAAATTAAATTATTAATAAAACTAAAGAAACCCTAACAATTTAAAATTTAATTCATTTATACATTAATGGAAGAAGTTCATCCTATCTTTGATTTATTTGAAAAAGCTAATACTCCATTAACTAAAGCAACTTTATTATCTATTGAAACAACGATTCAATCAAAAAAATTAGAAATTAATAATATGACAGTATATTCATTATTAGTTGAATTAATTAATCAATCATTACCTTCACCACAATCAATTAAAACTTTTGAATTACAAATTCAATTTTTACTTCAAATAATTGAAAAAATTCCAATGCCTATAATTGCTAATGATTTAAATAGAATTTTACCATTAATTAATGGTATTCAAGTATATTATAAAGAAAATACAAAAAATATTAAATTTTTATTTAAAATATATTCTTCAATTATTCCTAAAATTCCAAAAAGTTCATATGAACAATTAAATAATATTATGGTTGATTTATTTGAATCATTAGAAACAATTCCAGATAATTGTGAAACTGCTTATGATCAATGTATTGTTACTTTAATTTCTGAATCTTCTTTTAAATCATCATTTGGAAAGAAATTAGTTACTACTCTTTTAAAAAAATTATCAAGTAAAAATACTTCTATTGTTGCTAAAACTTTACATCTTATTTCTCGTCTTCTTTCTAAGTTATCAGGAAAATTAGCTAATTCATTAATTAATAAATTAACAGAATTATCTACTACTGCTGTTGAAACTCCTTTATTAGTTGCTTTATATAAAAGTTATACTTCTGCTTTAATGAATAAAATGGAACCAAAAGTTGTAGAAGCTATTTCTAATTCACTTATAAATCATCCACCTACTTCATTTGATATTCAATCATCAATTGCTTATTCAACTACTTTATTTAATCTTCCTATTGCAATTTCAAAATATAATACTCAATTGGCATGTGAAACACTTGAAACATGTATTAGAATTGTTGGAAAATATTATCTTGATGCAGGAGAGAATGCAAAACAATATACTGATTTATTAGGTAATATTTTAACAAGAGCATTTACAGAACCATTTGTATCAATAGAACCAAGTCCAGTGAAGTACGTTATTTCATATGTTGTAGAAACATTATTTAATAAAAAGAATCATTTATTATTTGAAGAAACATTAAAAATAGCTAAAAAGTTATTTATTCATGGAAAACCTAATTTTATAAATCAATTTGCTCCTTTATTAACTTTAATGAATAAATTTTATGAAAATACTGCTATTAGAGAATCTGTTGAAAAATGTTTAATTTCATCATTTGAACATTTAGGTGTTAAATGTGTATTAGAAATTCTTCCATTAAATTTAGATGTGTCTATTGTTCAAAGAGGAAGTGATGGTAATCTTATTAATCATAGTTATCTTATTTCTGTTTTATTAAAATGTCATTTAAGAGAAGAATTAAAATTTTATTATTCATTATATCAAACTTGTATTCCAATGATTAATAAATTAATTGCTAAATCCATTGAATTAAATACTCAAGTTGAAACTAAAAATTTACAAATAATTAAAAATCATTTTATTTCATTACTTCTTGTATTTATGAATGATCCAACTGATTATGAATATTTCCCAGAAATGACTGATCTTATTATTGAATATTTAAATGATGAAGAAAGAACTAAATTAGGATGTGATATAATTAATAGAGCTATTCTTCATCATATTAAACAACCAGAAGTTATTCAAAAAATGTCTCAAAAATTAGTATTAACATTATTTAATGTATTATCAAAAAAAACTACAGTTCTTCAACAAAAACCAATATTAAAATGTATTGAAAATATATTAAAACAAACACAAGGTGAAATGGCAAATATTTTATTTAAAAATGTTATTGTTCAAATTATTAAACATAAAGAATTACTTGAAAATGATATTACTATTATTCGTACTGTTGGACTTATTAATTTAAGTATTTTATTTATTCCTGCTTTAAATGAATCTTCAATAGAAATTTATTTAAACGCTCTTGTTCCAATGTTAACTGTTAGTGTTCAAAGAATTGTAAAATCTACATTAAAGGCATTAGCTGAACTTACTAGATTACAAGGAACTTATATGTTTAATAAACATAGAGTTGATATTGAGACATGGTTCGTTATGGGAACATATAATGATAAAGTATATGAACGTGCAATTCTTAGAGGTTATTATGTTTATTTAGAAGTTATTAAATCATTAAGTAGAACTGAATTAAATCAAAAAGCTGTTGAATTTCTTGCTTTAGTTATTAGACTAACAAAAGAAAATAATAGAAAAACAAGAGAAGAATCATTTGAAATGATTGATAAAATGGGTGTATTATATGATGGACATTATAGTAAAGTACTTGAAATGATTTGTGCATTTATTGGAGAAGATCCTCATATTACATCATGTGCATTTATTGCATTAGGAAGATTTTTAATTAAAGGATATGATCATTTATCTGAAAATACTAAGAAAGTAGTGTTTGATATTTGTATTAATAAATTAAGTAAATCAAGAGAAGAAAATAAAAGCATTATTAGTACAATTAAAGCATTATTAAAACTTGATAATGATATGTTTAAAGAACGAATGCCTGATATCTTAAATGCATTTGGTAAATTAAATGAAGATAATAGAAGATATTATCGAATGGAAATTAAACAATTTATTGAAAAATTAATTAGAAAGTATGGAGAAGATACTGTAGAAGAAGGAGTTGTTGGAGTTGGAAAAGAATTAATTCAAATGGCAAAGAAATATAGAAAAGATAAAAAGAGAAGAGAAAGAAAAGAAAAGGAACGTGGAAAAAATATAAAAGGAAAGAATGAAGATAATGAAGAAGATATTATTGAAGGATATGAAAGTGAAGATGAAAATGAAGAAAAAGATGAAAGAAAAAGAATGATAGAATCAGAAGATGTTGATTTATTACAAATGAAATTTGTAAAAGAAACTGTACCAAAGAAAATGAGAAAAATAGGAGAGACTGACTTCCCAGTTGATGCTGAAGGTAAGTTAGTAGTTAATGAAGAAGAACAAAATGAAAGTGAAGAAGGTGTTGAAGAAGAACAAAACGAAGATGGAATGGAAAAAGAAAAGAAAGTAGTTGAACAAAAAACACCAAAAACAAGAACCTTTGAAAGAAAGTTGTTAAAAAAGAAACTTGAACAAAGTGAAAGAAAGAAAAGAATTAATGACGAAGTTGGAAAGAGGTTTAAAGCTAAAAAAGCTCAAGGAGATGTTATGAAGAATGGAGTACAGCCATATGCTTATGTTCCATTAAAACGATCCACAAAGAAAACTAAATTAGAAACAGAAACAGCTTTTAAAACATTAATGAAAAAGGATAAAGGAAGTGTCAGTCTAAAAAAACCAATTAGACTTTCAAGAAAAAGAACAATAAAGAAATAAAGATTGAATAACATTGAATGGTTTTTTATAATAATAAATTTGTTATTACTTTTATTAAATGAAAAATATTAATTTTTTGGATTTAAAGAAATTGTTAAGATTCATTGAACAAAAATGATAAAAAGAAAGAAAAACTATAATATTAAATTTTAATATAATTTATTAAAAAGATAATTTTAAAAGGTTTATATTTTTTTAATATAAAATGAGAAAAGATGTTTTGATAATTTGAAAAGAGAAACAATTCAGAAGAAAGAAAAAGACTTAAAAAAGAACTTAAATCATTAGCGGATGGAGAAAGTGGAGGAGGGGTATCATACAATTCATTTATGGAAAGGAAAAGTAATAGAAGAAAAAGAGGTAACATATTATATATATAATGATATGGAAATATTACAAATTGGAAGACAAGTACCGATTATTTTAAGAAAGGCATATCTTAAATTACATCCAGAAGTTAAAGGAATGAAAGAAGAAGAAATAAAACTAAGTTTTGAAATTGTGTTTGACAAAGAATATTATTTTATTTGTAAAGATAAATGTGAGTATTGGTATTGGATTAATAAATTATCTTATTTTACTCATAACATTGGTGTTCTTGGATTTCCTTTATTAGTTGCTATAAGAAAAAGTGGGTGGAGAGTTCCTAATCCAATTTATAGATGTATTGAATATCTTGAACAGAATAATGGTATTAATGTTGAAGGAATTTTTCGAATGAATGGAAATGCTAAAGATATTGATAGAATAAAAGATCTTGTTGAACATGACCAAGACATTCAATTTACTCAAGAAGATGATTGTTTTATTGCTGCTTCATTTTTGAAATTATATTTAAGAGAAATGCTAGAGCCATTAATTCCCTTCAATTTATATGAACAATTTATTCAATTACCTAAAGGAGGTTCTAATATAAAACAATTCATCTGTCAGTTACCTGAAGCAAATCAAGATACTTTATGGTTTATTCTTCATTTTTTAAAGAAAGTTGTTCATAACTCTGAAAAAAATAAAATGAATGCATATAATCTCTCTACTTGTATTGCTCTTACTGTATGTTCTCCTCAACTGACGAAATCAACTGATCAAATGGAATATACACTTGGAGCAGTTGAATCTTTTAGTTTCTTATTAACTCATTTCGATGAAATGTTTTGTGAAATTGAAAAGAGAAACATGAATAAAGGAATGACTTTACCAACATTTCCTGCATTCTCTCCTTCTTGTGTTGACTTATCTTCTATAGCACAAATAATTCGAAATGACATAAAAAAAGGATTTCGTTCTTCTTATAAGAAACCTTCTTCTGGATTTTCTTCTCCAATTACATCTTCTCCAAGAGGAGAAGACATACAAGGAGAGTATCAATTCAATTTTAATCGTGGAAATTCACCATCTCTAAGTCCACCACTTAAAGACGATTTAAAAATGTCAAAAACAAGTTTTTTACATTATTCAAATAGGTCAAGAGCTTCTTGTGGGGATATCCTTGAAATTTTAAGTCAAGAAAATAATACAAAGAAAAAAACTGATAGTACAACAATTACCTCTTCACAAAAACAAATAGAAACTACCATCCCTGGGAAAATATGTCGTTCTGGTCCTTTCTTTATGAATCCAGACGTACGCCAAAAAGTAATTGGACCAATTAAATCTCCTTTTGATAAGTGTAATGGTGATGTGATTTCAAAACAATCATCTATGTAAAGGAGTCTTTAATATTTTAATTTCTTTTTATTGAATTGTGTTTTCATTGATTTAATGAATAAGTTTATTCTTTTTTTTTTAAGTATAAACAATTCATAAATGCTTTGCTTCTCTATTAAGTTTATTATCAGTGAGAGTGTCTTTAAATAAACAAAGTTGATCTTCAAATTATATTGGTGATAAAGACAGAAAACTATATATGTTAATATTTGCATTCAACTCCAATTACTATGAAATTTTAAACAAAAAGTATTTGATAAACATAGTTATTATTACTATTCTTTATACCAAAAAAATAAGAAGTTCCTTAGTTTCTTTCATGTTCATTATCATTGATAAAGAGTGTATTTTTATAATTTACTTATCAAAAAAGAATTTCTGTTATAATATTTCTTGTAATTTTTTTTTGTTGTTTAATTTATTAAAAAAGAATAATAAACAAAATAATAAATAACAAACTTTGATATATAATTTTAATATTAGACTTAATTCTATTCAAGATTTTTTGGTATCATTAAAACAAAATGATTAAATAGTGTTTTTTAAATAATACCACAAATACTCTTCTCATTCCTTTGAAAGAATATTTTATTTATCAAAACAATTCATTCTAAAATTTTTATATTTTCTTTTAATTTAAATTTTTAAATAAAAGAAAATAAAATCATTAAAGTTAAAAAAAAGGAGAATTTTTTATTTAGTTCTTTTTAGTTGATTTCTTTTCTTCTTTAGCCCAAACTGGTTTTGGAGCAATAAATGGAATCTTTTCAACACCACCAACATAAGGTCTAAGGACTTCTGGAACAATAATACCATCTTCACATTGATAGTTTTCTAAGATACAACAAAGAGCTCTTTCAGTAGCACATAAAGTAGAATTAAGCATATGGACATAACTTTTAGTTTTGTCTTTCTTGTCAGTTTGTAATCTTACTTCAAGCTCTCTGCTTTGATAGTCAGTACAATTACTGCATGAGACAAGTTCTCTGTATTCATTAAATCCTGGGAAATATCCTTCAAGATCATATTTCTTAGCAGCAGCATTATTAAGAGCTCCTGAGACAATATTAACGACTCTGTAAGGAATCTTAAGTGATTCAAAGAAATCACGTGAATTTTTAATCATTTCTTCATGCATTTCCCAAGATTTATCAGGAAGTGTCATACAAAATTGTTCAATCTTTTCAAATTGATGAACTCTAAAGATACCCCAAGTATCTTTTCCATGAGCTCCAGCCTCTTTTCTAAAGTTAGTAGAGAATCCCATATATCTAATTGGTAATTGTTTTGGAAGAATCCATTCTCCAGCATGAAGTGCAGTTAATGGTTGTTCTGAAGTAGCAATTAAATATTTTTGATCGTCTAATTCAACATCCTTACCAGTTCCAACATGGTATAATGTTTCATCAAAATCTGATAATTGTGCAGTTTTAGCCATTAATTCTCTTCTCATAAAATATGGTGTTTGAATTGGAGTAAATCCTCTTTGTTCTAAGAAATTAGTACCATAATTAATAAGGGCTTGATTTAATTTAAATCCCCATCCTTTAAGATAATAACCTCTATGTCCTGCAACTTTTACAGCTCTTTCAGTATCAGCTCCACCAATCATATGAATAAGTTCATGATGATGATATAATTTTGGAGTACATTCACCATAAGTAACTTCTATTTTATTAAATTTTTCATCCATTTCAACTGGAACTGAGTCTGGAACAATATTTCCAACTGACTTAATTTTTGCATCAATTTTAACTTTCAATTCAGAAACTGATTTCTCTAATTCAGCAATTTTACTTTCACATGCTTTCTTTTTAACATCATATTCTGCAAGAACTTCTTTTGTTGGTGGATTTTCTTTATTTTTGTGAAGCATACCTAATTCTTTTTGAATCTTTCCAAGCTCTTTTCTAGTTTGGTCAAGAGTAAATCCTTCTTTTTTCCATTCATTATCAAGTGCAAGAATTTCATCAACAATTTCTACTGATGCTCCTCTCTTTTTTTGTGATTCTTTAATAACGTCTGGTTGATTTCTAAATAAATTAATATCAAGTCCCATGTATGATTAAACTAAAACTAATCTTGGGTTTAAACATTAAACCCCTTTTATTTCTATATACTAATTTCTTTATTATTGAATTTACTATTAATTATGTAAAATTTTATGATGAGTCTTCTCAACGTGGTTATTACTGGCGTTATTATTTTTCTGTTTTTTCTTCATTTGTCAAAACCTTTTGTTATTTTGTGATTAATTATCTTCATTTTCAGACTATTCACTAACCGAATGAAGAAGAACTTCTTATAAATTTAATCTAAATCATTAAAGAACCAACTAAAATCTGTTCTATCATTCTTCCTTTTATCAAACGTTATTTTTTTAGAAACTTCAATATATCTTCCATTTAAATTAGTTCCTGTTAATTTTATTGCTTTTTCAACAGCATTAGAATTTTTAAATTCAATATTAGCATATCCCATTGTTGTTTGAGTGAATTGATTGATAGGAATATTAACTTTTAATACAACACCACATCTTTCAAATAAGTCTTCTAATTCTTCTTTTGTAGTTGTATATTCAACATTACTGACATGAACAGACCTTGAATTTAATTCTTTTTCAATTTCATGTCTAATATATTCTTTATTTACATTATCCTTATGAACTGTTCTCCATTCTTTTTCTAATTTATCACAAAGAGAAGGAGTAATACTCATTGAATGAAATTAAAACTTTTAAGTTCATTTCTTTTTATAAACGATAAATACGTAAAAATTCTTTGATAAAACTTAAAAAAGTAATTTGTTTTGTTTAATAAAATCAATTATTCATCTTACTTGTTGTAAATGTGATAAAAATTCTTTAAATTCTTTATTTTCTGGTGCATCTTCTTTAATATTATATTGTTGAATTTGATGTGGGAATGCAAAAACTACTGTATTAATATCATCTCCACCTTGCCAGACATAAACTTGTTTAAAATACTTAGCTAAATCAAGAATTGTAGATTTTCTTAATTGAGAATCACGAGCTACAATATTATAAATTATCATTGGTGGTGTAATAGAATTCATATTTGCTGTAAATAATGATTTAACCATATTAACAATACAATTTTGTTGTACAAATGGTAATGGTGGACCAATTAATTCTTTGTCTGATGTTGTTTTATTATCTACATCAATAATAATTGCATGAACTGCGTTTTGAAGCATAGACATTTCACTTTTATGTGCTAAATTAGTAAGATATTCAATTCCATTCATAGTAATTACTGCTGTTGTTTCTTCATGTGTTGCAAAGAAATATTTGGATGCTGCTTCAACAACTACTGGATCTACATCAACACTGACAATACGTGATTCTGGAAGTAATGTTTTAATACCAAGTGTTAATGTACATCCTCCAGCTCCAATAATAACTACTCTAAATGGAAGATCTACTTTAGAATGCCAAAAGAAACACATACCAATACGTATGGCATCAAGATATGGTGATTGTAAAATTGATTTTTCAACATTTAGTTTTCCATTAACAACAACAGCTTCTGATTGAACAACTGTTCTAAATCCTTCAAATTTCATTCTTCTTATAGAACTTCCATCGTCATTACTTGTTTCTTCAACTAAAACATTTCCATTATAATCTGATTTCTTTTCAAACAATAATTTTCTATTTCCAACTCCTTCTTCTGCAGTAAGAATTGGTGCATCATTAGATTTCATTCCTTTTGGAATTAATTCTTTTGAAATAAGACCAAGTTCTTTAATAATTGATTCTAAATTTTCAACTGTATAATGTGGATCAATAAAAACAAGAAGAACCCTTTCTGCACTAATAGCTTGACAAAGGTCTTTATTACCTTCATCAGTGGCATAATGATATTCATTCTCACTTCCTTGTGGAACAACAAATACTGCAATTGGAATATTTTGTGGTTTTGGACAATCAATTACAAGGAATGTATATTTTGGATAAACTTCATTAATATAATATGGTAATGTAAACTTTTCATTAGGATGTATTTCTCTGACTTTCTCTAAAAGGGTTGAGTCAAATCCTTTAATGTTAGTCATTACTTCAATAACAGTTCTTTGTTTTCTTGTTCAAAATTAGACATGAAAATGAATCTGATTCTTTTCTTTTTTCTTACATCAATTACTCTCTATTTTCCTTCCATAATTCCTAAAATATTTTTCTTTATTTAAGGGTAATTCTTGTTAAACCTAACCCTATTTTATAAATAGATAATCTAAAAATTAAAAGAACTTATAATTGTAAAACATCAAAAATAATTGATAATAAACAAATAGAATGTTTTATTAAACACAATAGTATTAAGTGAATAAGAATAAAAACTAAATACGTCCTTTTAGCATGTCTTTAAATTTAGACAACTCTTTTTGTAATTCATTTCGACTTCTTTTTGACTCTTCTTGATTTTGAGATTCTAATTGTATTTTTTGCATTTCTGCAAAACGTCTTCTTTCAAATTCTTTTCTTTCTTGAGCTGCTTTGACTCTTTGATTTTCTTCTATTTGTTTTCTTTTTTCTGCTTCACGAGAGTATTTATCATAATCTTTCTTTCTCTTTAATAACATTCTTCTAAGTTGTTTTTTAAACATTAAATCTCTTTCTTGTTCTAAACGTTGTAATTCTCGTTCTTTTCTTTGACGTTCTTTCTTAATTCTTGCTCTTTTTTCTTCTTCTTTTCTTTTCATAAGTTCTATTTGAAGTCTTTTTTGTGTGTCTTTGAGAATTTTTTGACGTTCTTCTTCTTTAAATTTCTCAAATAACTCTTGTTCTGTTTTTGCCTCTTTTGCTTTTATTTCTTTCATAACTTCCATTCTTGCTTTTTCTCTTAATTTCTTTTGAAGAATTTCATTATAAACATTACTTAACTCATTTCGTTGTTTATCAGCAATGTCATCATATGATGGTGAATCATATTTAATAATTTTTCTTCTCTTCATTTGTTCTTTTGCTAAATTCTTATAATAATTAATTACAAATTGTCTATTCCTTAATGCTATCTTTTGTCCTTCTGTTAATACTCTTTTTTGATGAACAATTTCATAATTTTGTTCAAAACTATAACTTAATGAAAAAATACAACTTAAAATAATTATAATATTGAAATTTTGGTGAAGAATCATTATTGTTATTCAATTTTCTTTTTTTTTAGTTCTTTTTATTCAAAAAAAAACAATAAGAAAAAGAAGAAGTATCTATTATTCTTTCTTATTCTATTTCTTGCTTTATCTTGAAACTAGTAACAACGGATTGACTAAATATCCAATATCAACCGATGTAAAGACAAATGGGAATGTACTATCTGCTCCTTCTGGATCATACCCAAGATCTTCACGAGTTGGTAAATAATTAACTTCAGTACCAATAGTAGGACGTTTACCAACAAGATTTTTCATTAACTTTTTGTTTTCTCTTTTTTTAAGTCTCATAACAATTAAATCATATTTAGTTGGTAATCCATAATGCAAAACTGAATCAGTAAATAATCGAAGAATTTTCATATGAAACCATGCATGAAGAACATGAACAAAGTTTGCTTCACAATAACGTACTAAAGTAGTTTTTTGACTTTCAAGTGATTCTTCTAATGATGATTTAGCTGATTCTATATTAGCAACTTCTCGTTTAAATTCTCTTACTGAATAATGATATGTACGACATTCATTCTTAAAATCATCTAAAGCATGTCTGAAAATAACAACCCGATATAGTTCAAAATCATTATCAACTATTACTTGTATTGCAGAATCACATACAACAAATTCATTTAATGTGTCATAAATTTTAAGAAATTCTTTGTGTTGTTGTTTTGAAATTACAACAAATACTGTCATAAGATATTCTGTATCTACAATAACATCATCTGGAACACATGAATCTAATCTTCTAGTTAATAATGTTCCTGTTTCTTTTTTATTTTCAATAGCAAGTTCTCTAGAAGTAGTTTGATATTTAGAAACTAAGTCTCTTAAACGGACTTCAATTTGTTGAATGTCTTTATATATTCTGTTTGTTAATACTTTTGCTGTTTCTGTAAATGGGTATTTCTTTTCATCCCATCTAAATTGTGTTAAATCAGTTTCATTCCATTTATCATTGAACTGAATTTCCTTATTTACATCAACCCATGTATTACATAGTCTTCTTACAACAGTCCCAACTGAACTGTCTATTCTTACAAGATCATCAGATAATGTCATTAATGAATCAAGTGATTCAAATTTTAATTGTGTTGGGATCATACTTTTATAACACTCAGCAAGACCTTCTGATTTAGACTGAATTCTTTCAAAGTCATACCCATCTGCTGTTTGTGTTCCACTTGGTAATGTTGTTAAAAGGTAAAGTCCAGTTTGGGTCATTTGTTTATTTTTTAATTAGGTAGTTCTTTTCTTTTTTTATTCTTTTTTTTTTTTTTCTCATTTTTGTTTATGTTAAAACCTGAGAAATTTGTTTTTGTTGCAGAAACTTAACTTATAAAAATTATTTTATTGTTCTGTTTGCGTGAAGTGTTTCTTGAAGTGTTTTCATTTCCTCTTCTTGTTTTTTTATCTACCATTATGAGTTTCATTATTTGTATATTCCAAATGATAAAAACAAACAATGGCTAACTTATTTTTTCGTGATTCATGAATTTCTTTTAATTGTTCTAGTACCTTTTCTGCTACACAACACGTAATAGGTAAAAGACATTCAATTTCATTACCTAATTTTTCTATCCTCTGCTTACAGAATAAAAGAGATGCTTTCATTTCTTCTTCTGTCGTTGGTTTTGGAATAGAATGTATTTCTGGAAGAAAAATCACTTTAGATGTTTGTAGTTCCTTCTTGATAGGTGCATAATTTAACATTTGAATAACAGTAGAAATCCTTTTTAAGCATTCTAATCTATTATCTGTTGAATTAAACATAATTGGAAGTTTAAGTGTTGGTATTTCAAATTTAGAAAGATTGTTTTTATTTTCTTTGTTAGTAATTGGACGTTTTGGTGGTGGAATAATTTCATTTTCTTGATTTGTTTCTGTTCTACGCTTCAATGAACATATCTCTTTTTTCTCTTCTTGTTTAATAACTATATGTTCTTGAAGTTCTTTTTGGTTTATATTTGCTTTATTATTAGAATTTTTCATAGTCTGCATATTGTCAGGAAAGTCTATAATCTTCTTAATGTTAGCCTCTTTTTTAAAACCTTCTTCTGACTCTTTTCTTAACTCTTTCTCTAATTCTATATCCTTTGTGGTTTGATTTCTGATTGATGAATTGTCGTTTGGATTAATTCTAAGTTGGAAGTTATGGTTGTCAGATGATTTGTGAATAGATTTTTCGTTGATTTGTTTAATTGAATCTTTCATTCGATCTTTCAGTGGTTTTGACATTAAATTGGGTTTTTTAAATTCAAATTTTTTCATTGAAATATGGAAATTCGATTTCTTATTTACTTTTGGTTTCACTTGAGGATGTTCGTTGGGTTTATTTATTTCTTTGTCTGGTTCTTGTTTGATTGGATTATCAGTACGTTTTATTTCTTTTGTCTCAATTACCTGATTTTCATTTTTCTTTGACTCTTTTAATTGTTCTGAAATAATTCTCTCGTTTCTTGGTTCTGGAAACACTTTTGGTTGAATATCTTCATTCATCTTATTTGTGACTTTTTCTCCTTCTTCTTCTGGTGAAAACTGAAATGAAGTTATACTATTGAAACTTTTAACACTGGTACTTTCATTTTTTAATAACACTTCTCCACTGTCAGTTGTCATTTTGTCAAACCATCTCATTGTATCACTAGTATCAAATCCTTCTTCTTTCATTGTGTCAAATGGATTAAAACCATTGCTAGAATCATGTAATTTGACTTTTTCAATATCATTTTCTTGTTTATTATATTCAATTGGTGTTTGTTTATTAAAAAATAAAGGTTTTTTCTTTGTTTTAGTAAATAATCTACTCATATAACATCCCTTTAATCAACATATCTTATTATATATCTTTGCCTTTTCATGTTATAAGAGATGTGGAAGAAAAGAAAGGTTTTAGACTCTTCGAATTTTCAGATGTTAAGGATTGTTAGAAATAAATAGAAAATATAATCTCATATTTTCAAATACCTTGAAAATCAATCTATCAAAGCTATTGGGGAAGTGCACAAGGAACTTAAAATTTTAATGACTAATAGTGAATGTTAGTTTATTGAAGTAAATGCATCAATAGTCTATGTAATTTTTATGAACAAACAATACACTACCTTTATTCAAACTGAAAAGCAATTTAAGTCATATTTATTAATTCTTTTACATGGAAAAAAAAATACAGATAAAAGAGAAGCATTATAGTATATATGCTTGTCATAGAAAGTTAAAGAGATACAGAGTTAACCTTTAAATATTATTCCAAGGTTTTGAAAATACCTTATTAATTCAGACTTCATACTTTAAAATTAATCCAATCTATCATTAAAAGGAAATTATTAATACTCAATTGGGTAAGTTGATATGAAATAGTAAAGTCTAAAAACAAAAATGGTTAGGTTAATCAATTTAAGAATTAAATGTCAATAACAGAGAATTGAATGAGTTAATGAAAGTCATTCAAATTAAGTAAGTTATGAGTAGATATGTATGACTCACATCTGTTGGTTATTTAGATTAGTAATAATAAAAATATTGTTTTATAATATATTGTCCTTCATTGTTATGTAGTGAGTCATACAAGCACATTACTTAGAACATATTTAAGATAGAAATTAAACAAATAAAAAAGATTAGTGGATGTACGAAAAAAGTGACTGATTATTTATTTTTTGGATTGGGAATGTGTTTTGTTTAATGTAAGAATATTGAAAACTTAATGTTAAGAGCCAATAAATACATATTGGAGAGGTGAGATCTGTCAAGAAAATTAAAGCTCATCAAATTGAAAGGGATTATATAGAATTTAACTTCCACTAACAAAGAATTGACAATAATGTTTATTCACGAAAAAAAAAACAAGTCAAAAGGAATGTTTTGAATTTCCTTTTTTCATTTTTGTTCTACGTAGAAAAATCAAAGACAGAAAGAAACAAGACAAATGAGGGAATAAATGATGAATTTTTTAAGAAGATTATTTTAGTTGGTAATACTGAAAAACAAGAACATAAACCAAATAAACAAAATCTCCTTATTTATGATTAGTTTCTTAGCTTCTAATGTTTTGTTTTTACAAAGTGATGACATGGAAACCAATAAGCAAAAAATGAAAATACAAAATTGAAAGAAAGAAGGAATGTAGAATGAGGCAAGAATAAGTTAAGAAAAGTGAGTGAAATGTCACAAGAAAGAGAAAAAAAGGGAGTTTGATTCCAAAATGGTTAGGACAGAAAGCCAAAAAACAAAGAGACACAAAGAAAACTTCAGTAAAACGAAATAAAGGATGATTCAGTGGGACTTGAAACGAGGTAGTTTTAAAATTGTAGCAAAAAGCAAATGGAATATTTAAATGGAACTTGTTAAACAAATTAATGTAAGAGAATGATTTCAAGTGCTTTTATTACTCGTGTCCCCTTTCATATTGAAGATGGAAATGTCTTTGTTATGAATTATGAAGAAAAAAAAGTTAAAAATGAAATGATTAATGCTAAAAGAGAATCAAAGAACAGAGATGCTGCACAACAAGCTTTTATTGTAGGAGTATTATCTCAATCTGGATATGAAGTAAATATCAATAGACTATATAAAAGAGGAAATATGACATATCAAATGTTTACAATTAACAATGTTAAAAAGGACGATAAGGTTGTGTTTGATGCTTCTCATCTTGAATTTGAATATGATGGACTAAAAGAAAAGAGACAATATCTTGATGCTATAACAAATAATTATCTTATTGAGCTTCTTAATAAATGTGGTGTTATAGTTGAAGAAAGAAAAACAAGAAAAGTTATTAAACCAAATAGTATTGCTATGAAAAGGTTAAATTCTGTTACTATTAATGGTAAATTCTTTGGATTTAGACATATTAATGAAATTGGATGTCATTTTAATCAAATTATTCGATCAAGAACATCAACAAAGAGTGGTTCTGTAGTTCTTCCATATGATGTTTCTTTTGAGTGTCCTAATTTGTCTTCAATTCGAAGTGAGTCATGTTAAAGCAAATACTAATAAATGATGTATTTAATTTTATTATTATTATTTATTTTTGATTTGTTTTGTTTTTCAATTTTTTAAACTAAACATATTTTAGAGGTGATTTTACTATTCATCACCAATTATTTTGAGGTAAATATTTTATTTTTAAAAAATTCCAAAAAACAACAATAATAAATCATTAATTACATCCTGCACAACCTGTAACAGGAATATGATGTACTTGTGTATTTTGTATACTTCCTAAACGGTGACCACCTTCTGGGTTATGGGTTCTATTTCCATTTCCAATTTGGGGGTGACGATATTCAACTTGTCCAGAAAAATCAAGTAATGACGCAAAACTACTCAATTAATACTTTAAATACTTGTTAGAAAGAAAAACAAACTATAAAAAGACTAAGTCTGTTATTGTAATGAAAATATCTGTGAGTGCCATTTGAATATTCTTATCAACTAAAATATGAGATGAACTAAAAAATAATAATTAAAAATGGAAAATACTATTGAAAGTAGTTTTTCATTAGTTTCATTAATTACAACAACAGTTTTATTATTAATTGGCATTATTGTTTATGTCAGTTTGTTTAAATTTATTTTCTTATAAACGTGATAAAACGATATTTATTTAATAATAGTATCAAAGAGAAATAAAAATAATAAAAATAAAAAGTCTGTTGTAATGATTACTGGAATAAGTGGTGTTGGAAAGACATCATTATATCTTTGTGTTTGTATTTTTATTTATTTATTATCATATATAATAAAATAAACTAATAACATATAGCTACAAAATGATACAATTACTGAAACATGTACTTCTATGGTTGAAAATATTGGTACTTGTCATGATACTATAACTAAACAACCATTTGAAATAGTGGATATTCCTGGTTATGGTAAAGTTAGAGGATTATATAAAAAATATATTGAATTAGCTAAATGTATCATTTTTATGATTGCTGGAGATGAAGTTAAGAAAACAATTAAAGATGATGCAGGATATCTTCATTGTATTATTTCATCAAATACAAATAATATACCAATATTAATTCTTTGTAATAAGAGTGATATTCCAATGTCTGAATCAAAAGATATTATTAAAATTTTATTAGAAAAAGAATTAAACAAATTACGTGTTAGAGTTGCAAAACCAGGAGAAGTAATAGCTGATGATGATTTATATATGTATGGAGATCCTGATGATGAATTCCATTTTGAACAACTCAAGAGTAAAATTGAATTTGCTCAATCTTCAGTGAAAGAGAATGATATAGATTCTGTTTGGAATTTTTTGAGTGGTGTTGGGTTAAAATAATTTATTCATTTAAAAATAATAAAAGTCTTATTTAATTAATATTTCATATACCCATCTTCTATTCTTCTATTCAATGTTTCTAATTGATTCAAATGTCCTTCTTGATCATGGAATACAATGTAATCACCATAGGTTGTTCCTACATGTCCTCCCCAATTTTCAGGCGTTAATAAGTCAACCCTTTGATTTGTAGTATTTGCAAATTTATAAATCCAATGACCAAACCCAGGATCTTCTAATGAACTTGGGGCAAATGTGTAATAATTTTCCCATTTTCCAATAAATTTAATGATGTCTTGACTGAAAATAGATAAATAACCTCCAGGATAAATGTAATACCGTGGAAGATTTCTAGATAATGGGTCATAATATTTATGTCTTGGATTAGTATAAGGGGCATGATAAGTTAGTTGACCAACAACTGTTGGGTTATGGGTGTGAGCAAATAAAAAGTCAGATAATAAATCGACAGTAACAATAATTTCATCATCAACTCGAGTATAGAAATAGTAGTTTGGGAATAATTTAAGTGCCATAATATAAGCATTAATATTTTTTTGTTGTAAAGTAAACCAATGTTCATTTAAATCAGGCATATCAATGAAATAAATGTCATGATATGTTTCATTCATTTCAACTAATTCATTGTATTGTTCTAATTGCTTTGCAGATGACTCCCCAAAAACAAAAATGCATTTAAATCCATACCTTTGTTGGTATTCTTCTCTACACCAAGTATTTCTTGTATTTTCTACATGATTTATTTTAGAAGGAAAACTGTGAATAATTGCAAGCCATAATTTTTTAGGATAAATTCGATCTTCATTTCTCGGTGGATTTTTTGATTTTAGCTCAACATGTGCATATGTATTAAAATCAATTTCATAAGGATAATCTTCTTCAACTTTAAACTTTGGTCCATAGAACTTAGTTACATATTCTCTTTGTTTTTGAGTTATATATTCTTTAGCAGAAAATAGTTGAAATAATAAGAGGATAATAATCATCTTTAAGTAATGATTTTTTTCTTTCTAGTACAATCCATTGAACTAGTAATTTAAGATAGAATCTTATCATTCTACATTTATTAACTCTTTTTAATTATTATCATCATAAAACCGAAAGCAAAAAAAAGGAAAGTCACTTATTGTGGGATAGTTGGGTTTGTGTTGATATACACGAAAATTAGTGCCAATTTAATTTTAGGATCATCAGAGTCATTAAAATTAATTTTTAAGTTTCTTAATGTTTGAATGATAATATCATTTGAGGCATGAATCAAATCAAACTTTGTTATTCCTAAAGCAACAAACCAATTTTCTCTTTCAATTCCACTAACAATAGACATTAACTTTTGAACTTCTAGTTTTTGTTCTTCTTTCCATTCTCCAAAACCATAAGGTAATTTTGAAACATTAATTTTTCCATATAATGTAGGAGTGTTTAATAAATACATTCTTGCAAATCTTTGACGTTCTTCAAAGAGACTTTTATCTCTTTGAGTATCTCCTTTAATAATATTATCAACAATTGATTCAATAACAATCGATTTAGTTCTTGTTCTTGCTTTTTGAAAACAAATAGGACATTCATAACAATTTCCATATTTCATTGAATATTCTAAATCACATGTATAACAAAAGGTATGACCACAACTTAGTGTTATAGGAACAACAAATAGTTTCTTACACATCGGACAAGTAACATTTCCCCTTACAGTATTAGCTCTTAGATTCATTGAGTAATATTCATCTGAAACAGTATCTAAACAATTTTCAGAAGTACTAGTTAAAAAATCACTAGTATTATCAATGTTAGTAGTAGGACTTTCTCCTTTTTTAAGAACTTCATATCTGAAGTTGAAAGAAGAAGATGGTTGTTTAAAAATTGTTCCTATTTCAATACTTTTTCCTCCAGCCAAGGTAATAAGATCCCCATCCCTTAAAGTTTTAAAAGTAACCTTTTCATTGTTAACAAAAATCCCATTTGTAGAAAGGTCAGAAATAACAACACCATCAGCAGTCATTTCAAGTTTAGCATGAATTCGTGATATATTCATAGGATGAATTAAACTATCAAAAACAACATCACATTTAGACTGTCTTCCAAGAGTTGTTATTTTCTTAAATAAGTGAATTAAAGTAGGAGCATTTGAGTTAGAATCAGTACTTTCTTTAATAAGATGAGCATAACAGTCACACTTCCTTTGTTGAAGCCAAACTTGAATTGGTTGAGGAAGTACCACTTTTTTTTGAAGACAATTAGAGTTTTCATTACTTGACCGTAAGGTGTATCTAGAGTTCATGTAGATTTAGTAATAATAAGATCTAGAATCACTCTTTTAAGATGAACCAAACTGAGAGAGGAGTGTCTATTCTATTTTTAAAAAATCCCTTAGAGATATAAAAACAAATATCAAAAAAAAAAGATACAGTTAATCTTGATGAGTAACAAAAGAAACAGTTCTTGTTGGAGTTGCAAAGTATTTTTCTTTTTCTTGGAAGATTGAGTCTTCTTCAAAGATATAATGCCTAATATTATTAAGAAGAATTAAAAATTCGATATCGTTATCTGTAACGTTGCTTATATTACTAAGACTTATTTGTTTAAGATTTGTTAATTGAATTAAATGAGGTAGTAAAGGAGTAAAACAAGTTTGATCTTTTAAAGTAAATGATGTAAGAGAAGTAATGTCTGAAATAGACAAGAATTGAACGTTATCACAATGAGATATACAAAGACGTTGTAAAGAAATTAATCCATTAAGTGGAATAGGTTCTTCTGTTTTAATTTTACAATGTTTAATAGATAAGGATGTAAGATAAGAGAATGAATTAACTGAGTTTAGATTTAATAATTGTTCAATAAAATGTAATTCAAGACGTACTAATGAGTTACTAATACCAGTATATTTATGAATATTACTAACATCAAATGTAGAATATCCTTTAAAATATAAATTAGGTGGCCATTGTTGAAACCTATTAAATAATGCCTTAGCAAATCTGGATTTAATTTTTCTTTGAACCATTGTCATATGAAGAATTAAAATTCTTTTAGGATCTAATTGAGTACCAGTTAAATTAAATGGAGCAAATTCATTATTTTCTAAAGGAATTGAATATAATTGGAATTGAACATGAAATTTGGTAGAATATTTTAATATATCAAATACCTCTTCACTAATACTGGCAATATAATATACTGATATATATTTTAAATTTGAGCATTTGTCCAATGAAAATACAGCTGGGTCTTTATTTATTTGAGTACCAGAAATATTTAAATAAGTCAATTGACTTAATTCACTTACTCTATGAATAGAATAAAATTGACTAAGTGTAGTTGATCGTATAATTAATGAGCATAAATTAGGTAATTTCTTTAAATCATCAACAGATTCATTAAATGTATCTAAATGATAAAAGAGATTAAGTAAAGTTAATTTTTGCATTGAAACAAAACTTGGTGACCAAACAAAACATCTTAAATTTTCACATTTTACTAACTTTGAAAACATCTCTACTTCTCTAGGTTCACTAAACCTTGCATTTTTACCTGGGTCTTTCCAGAAAGAAAGAGTTTTTAATGAGGTTTGAGTTGTTCCAATAAGGGTAGCATATTTTATGATATTTTCTTCTCCAATATCATATGTACCTAAATCAATTTTTGTAAGAGAATGAAGTGGTAATTGATGAATAATATTTGAAAGTAAATGATATTCAGTTGTTGCATTATATGAAAAACACAACGCTTTTAATGTAGAGTTATTTGAAAGATGTGTAAGTTGTTTATAATCAAATGTAGTAAATTTATCATTTGCTGAATCACCATTTAATATAGAAGGTGTTAAATGTAATGAATATAATGGTACATTGACATTTATTAAATTTCTTTCTAAACATTGTACCTGAATTAAATGATTACAAACACGTTGACATTTATGGTTAATTTGTATGAAGTGCTTTAAGTCAAAGTACTCAACGTATGAAAAAATATGACAAAGTTGTAATGTCGATAATTTGGTCATACCTAACATTTATTTAAAAATGAAAAAAAAAAGTTCAAATAATAGATATATCCACATTTGGATTTTCTTCATATTGAGAAATATTTTTATTTCAATTTCTTCAATATGCCCTATTTCTATCATATAGTTCATTTCCATTAAATGAGAATTAGAATGTTCTTTTTCTAACGTACTGCCAGAATTTCCTATGTAAAATATTAATTCATTCAGGTTTTTGGTTATTAATATTTGTAATATTTTTGGGAAAGTTTATTTGTAATTTTAGTGCCTTTATTCTTTTTACTGTTTTATTGTATATCCATTTATTGTAATTATTACAGGTATTATTTCTTTATATTTTTTTTTCGTTGTTCTGTCTTAATGCTTATTGTAAATCTTTGTATTTATTTTGTGAATATACTTTAGTTCAATATTCTTATCTTGATATATGACAATATCATTATTATATCCTTTCTTGTCTTTCATTTTTTGATTATATGTGTATAATCAATCAAAGGTTGCAATTCAAAAACATGGACAAACTTTAATACAAAACCAAATATTGAATTATCAATTATTATTTGATTATGGTGTTGCACTTTGTGAGATAATACCTCTTCAAAGTTAATTGATTGTTATTTATTTATTATGGTAGATGATTAGTTATTGTTATGATTGGGGGTATTATTTATCAACATGTGAGTATATTTAATAATAATAATTTTGAATTAAACATATGGGTATTATCAAGAAAGTGAGACTGATAAGTGGGTGTTGATAATGAAGGAGATAAGATATAGTCATAGTGTCATTGGCATATTCAACACAAAATAAGACAATAAAAATGAGAAGATATAATACACACAAAAATCAAAATAAAGAACAAATAATAACTTAAATAAAGAATATTTAAGTCTAAGATGTTTGAAAAGACATTAAATTAAAAAAAATCATGTGTGCTAAAAAAAAATTGACAGACATCCTTTTTAATATGAAGAAACACTACCAATTAAGTAAGTCATAATTGATTTTATTTTTTTGATACTTTATATCTGCCTTTTAGTATAGAACGAATGGTTATTATTTAAAGATGAAAAAATAAAACAATAAAAAAGAATAGGAAAAGGAAAAGAAAATAGAATAAAAAAACAAAATGAAACAAACAATTTCAAAATGGATTTTTTAATGAATTAATTTTAGGCTTTTTTTCCTAAAGGAAAAGAACTTTAAATGTTTATTCCAAGATGTCCATAAGTCATGTTGAAAAAGAAAAGAAATTAATTAAAAAAACTAAAGAAACTATGGAAACGGCTACTTGGAAACCTGTTAGAAAAAGGTCTAATTCAACACGTTCTGGAATTCGTTTAGGTATGAGGAAAGGAACACCATCTCCATCATCTACTCCACAAATACAAAGTCCTGTTGTTATTGAATCAAAAGAAGCTCCGTGTGTAATTGAAAGTCATAAAATGGATGTTAAAATTCATGAACCAAACCAAAAAACTGATGAAATATTACAAGGGAAATCTAGATATGCTGATGTTCAACGACAATTTACATTTTGTGAAGTTGTTGGAAGAGGAGGATTTAGTGTAGTTCATCGAGCAATTTATAAAAAAACACATGAGGTTGTTGCATTAAAAATTATTGATAAAAAAATTGTAAGAAAAGACCAATTAGAAACACTGTCAAGAGAAATTGGATTTGTTAAATGGTGTGAACATAAATATTTATTACAAGTGTATGATATACTAGAAGATGACGATTATATTTATGAAGTTCTTGAATTTGCTCCTGGAGGAAATTTATTTCAACGTATTACAAAAAAACCTTTAACTGAACAACAAGCCCAATGGGTTGGATATCAAGTTGCTTCAGCAGTATATTATCTTCATACTCAAGGTATTTGTCATAGAGATTTAAAACCAGAAAATATTTTGTTAATGGAAAAAGATGGCGGTTTTAATATTCGGTTAGTAGATTTTGGTTTAGCTAAGAAATTTACTGACGATATATTAAAAACCCCTTGCGGTACTTTTGATTACGCTCCACCAGAAATGTTATTACATGCACCACAATATACTCAATTATGTGATATTTGGAGTTTTGGTGTAACAATATTTGTTTCAATGTGTGGGTACTATCCTTTTGACGGAAATAGTCTTGCAGAAAACATTGAACAAATGCAATCTGGAGATATTAATTTTGATGATGATGAGTGGGAGTTCATTTCTGTTGAATGCAAAGATTTCATTCGAAGATGTCTAGTTGCTGATCCAACAAGAAGAATGAATATTGAAGGAGTGTTAACGCATCAGTGGTTATGTGGTGCTTCAGTTTATTCAAATCCTTATTTTGCAAATTTATTAAAAGAATTAAGTCAACAAACAATGGACAAAGTTGTAGCACCTAAAAAAATTACTATTGATAGAAATTAAAATTTTACAGTACTAATACACTTTGTTTCAATTAACATTACTGTAAATTAATTGAAATTCACTATTCTTTTTGTTCTAATAAGTTATAATATCATTCTCTTATTTATTTTTTTTTACTATTATTCTTTTTTCTTATTCTTTTGATATAAAACTAACTAATTCAAATTTTTTTATTACATTTCACTTATTATTAATATGACAGAAACCTTAACACAACTCCACAAAACTCGTATTGAAATGGGATCTCTTCGTCAGGTTTTGGAAATTATTTCTCTTAGAACAGAAACAGCACCAATACCTATGCAAGTTCCATTAGCTGTTGATAGTTCTAATGAGCCAGTGGCATTATTTCCTGTTACAGTTGATCCTATGAAATTGAATACTTTTGTGGTTCAATTGAGTGATGAATATTATCTAGAAATGACAGCTAAAGAAGTTGAAAGAAGGTTAAATGAGAAGATTAAAAATTTGGAAGCAAAAGAAAAAACGCTACTTGATAAAATCAAAAATACTACAAATGAAGCAAAACATAATATCGAAGGAGATGTCCGTAATATTACAGAGTTTATAACTGAAGAAGAGTATCAACAAATGCAACAAAAGAAAAGACCAGTTCAAAAAACTAAAGAAGTTGATTATCAAAAAGAAAGGGAATATATCAATGAACTTGCATCTTTAGAACGTGAATTAGAACGTTCTGGTAAATTAGAATATGTAGAAAAAGTTGGAACTACTGAAGAAATTGAAGAAATACCTGAAAGTGAATTTAGTGAAATGCCTGGTGTTAAAGCAACAATAGTAGAAAGGAAAAAGGACAAGAAACAACCTACACATGAAGAAAAACCTAACATTCCTCTAACCAAAAGCAATGACATTGTTGAACGGAAAAAGGAAAAGAAAAACCTTTCTCAAGACAATAATCCCCCTAAAAGAGTTTCTTTATTCAAACAAAGAATGGGAAAATAATTATCATTTGATTAATAATTAAAAATACTTTATTATTATATTCTTTTTGTGAAAAATTTTTTGTTAATATAATCATTGATATAATATGTGTAGTAAAATGGAAATATTCTCCTTTATGAGGTTTTACTTTTATTATATCTTTTGTTTGTTATCTGTTCTAAGTAGTTATACTTTAGGTGTTTTAAACAAGAAAAGACGTCCGTTCCTTAATTCTTTTCTTTTATTGAAAGGTTCTTCATCTTTCTGAGATAACAAGGTTAAATTTTAATGTTATTAATAATAAGAATGTAATATAACTTATTTCATGTACTTATTTAAAAACTATTCAATACCTTTAATTATCAGAATGATAGGTTCTATTCTGTTTAATAAATTTCATTATTTAAATACTTCTAGCTATGTTAAATTTCTGTTAATAATTTTAATGAAAAAGAGCTGGAATATTTCAACTACAGAATGAATTATTTATGTTCTACATTTTCTTTATTATTATTTTATTAATTTCTTGATCTGAAACAAGAACATATAATCGTGTCTATATCAATTGGTTAAGAATAATTATTGTTTTCAATCAAAATAATTTGTATTTAATGATTAAATGATATTTTAGTTATTAAACTAGTGTTATTTCAATATTAAATATTAATTGAAAAAGAAGGATATTGATCATTTATTTTTTTTTTATTAAAAAGTTGTAAATAACTTAATTTTATCGATTTATTAAACACAATTTGATAATCTTATTATATAAAATACAAAACAATCAATATTTGAATAAACAGAATTGTTGTAATTCTATATTAATACAGAAACATATTCTGTAATAAACTATAATTTAATCAATTATTCATATAAAATATAAATCTGATAAATACTATAACATCTACTGAAATGTTTAATAGTGTTGAATTTTTCTATTATTTTTGTTTCATTTGACAAAGCAACAAAACAGAGTGTTGATACTATTTAAGATGAATTATAATTAATAGTATTCACAATGATTATTTGGTGAATATATACAATTTTTATGATTAATTATTGTTAGTTAATATTAATATTTTTGAATATCCATGACAAAGATTATGTTGTACATTTAATTATTATGTTATTTAAAACGAATTAACTAGTATTTGATTGATAAAATATCATCAATTCTAATGTGCTTCAATTAACACGAAATTTAATGTTTAATGTTTTACATTTAAATATAGTTGAATTTAATGATCTTATCAACTATTTTATTTAATTAGAATATAGAAGTATCAAATATGAATGATATATAAAATAAAGAAGCTCTCAAATAGTAGTGCTTTGTTCTATTTTAATACTATCATGTTCTATTTTGAATAACTTAATAAATAGTCATTCTATTTGAAGAATTGTATATTTTATTATATGAGTTATTGTATAACAACACAAAGAATGAAAGAAGCGACTATGAATATTTACAAACATTGAAAGAGATACAAGTAATTTCCATCTAATAAAGATAATTTTCAATTCAAATTTAATAAATAAAAGTATATCTGTTATTCCTAACACAAACTCTGTTATACAAACAATGCTTAAACAAATAAATCAAACTAATTAATATCTAAATGTCGAGAAACTGAATATACTTATACC